TTCTTGACGTAGTATATGCACACACATTTTCAGGTCTTCAGCACCTATTATGGCTGGGATCCTCTCGGGGGAAGACTTTTGTCGTCTACTGTACATAAATAAAACAAAGGAATGACATGGAATAAGCGTTCAAGCATATATGTAATAGATGTCAATGTTGACGCTTTCTTTTTTGTCTCCTTTAGTGAGAGCAGTTCATACAGAATAAGAGAAAAAACTCGAAAAACAAAGCTCGTCAGATGAAATAGACGGACGTTTATCATTATTCATGTGATTATATATAAGTGAATATAAAAAAGAAAGCGACGAAAAAATGAGTATTAACATGTTTGAATTTCTACCTGTTGATGTAGTGTTTGAAATTTTTCGTTATTTATCTCCTATTGAAATTCTTCAAACATTTTTATCATTGAATAAACGTTTTTCATCAATTGTTATGTATGAGTATATGTGGCACATCCATATTGGTGAAAATAGAATGTCGTTATCAATGTTCAATGATTTTTGTCAAAATGTATTAAGATTGATAGGAATTCGAGTTGTGTCATTAAGTTTAACATTAACTAATATTATTGGTGGATGGTCACTTATTTCATCATCTCTAAAATATCATAAAACAATATCACTGCGACGTCGTCATCTGATTAATATTCAACCACATGAATTTGATAAATTATTAAGTAATCATTCAATAAAACAATTACATAATTTACTGGTCGATTTGACGGAAAATAGCTTGTTCAACAATCAAGTAGTGGAAGGAGCATACCTAGCTAAGGTAAGAAAGCAAAATTTACTCGAGTTTATTATGAACTTTATTGTTTTTTATTTGAAAGAAAAACCTATGAAAATATTTCATTTATTTATGTTTATAAAAGGTGTGTTCATGTCTGCCCACTTTAACAATCTGTCGACTTCCATTTGATTTTTGTCGTAGAACTCGTCAACAATTACCAAAATATTCAGCATTATCACTGATGACTTTACCAAAATTATCAGATACAAATCATCTTCGTACATTGATCATAGGAATAAATACGTCAGCCTTTCTAGAACGTTTATTAAAATGTATACCTTTTATTGAAAATCTTTCGGTTGGTATAGAAGATGAAGAATTGCCCAATGATAATCAGTTTGACACTCAAACGTTAGTTACATACTGATCAATAAAAAAAATTAATGAAATGAAACGTTTTTTAGATTAACTGTTACTGTTGATGCTCGTCTTCTGTGTCGTCTATCACGTATTAGCTTGACCTGTATGAATGCAATAAGTTTCTATCGAACCATTGCATTTTTAGTACCTGTGTTTGGTCAATTAAAACATCTATCACTAAAATTAGATATATATGCGCAAGTGCCTGATTCAGTGGTCATATCAGGTGATACTATTCAAAGATTATGTATTGATCGTCTCAATCCATTAGCAACGTTTACTCTTAATATATCGGCCATTATCAAGAACGACATAAAGGATAAAGTAATTCTCAACTCATATTTGAAAGCTCCATTTGTTAATCAACAACAACCAAAAGTAGTTGTCCATGATAATGTTACTATGAATATTTCTCGTGATAGTTATTATTTTGTCGTGTATACTTTACCCTACAATGAAATTAGATTTAGAAATTCTTTTTTTTTGGTAGACATCTTCAAACGTACGTATAAGAAATTTATTTGTTAGAAGTACTTTTAAAGATCTTTTGTTTTTATTTAGACGTCAAATGTCAATTGAAGGATTAGACTTGTTTCTACTTACTGATGAGTTATCCATGAGCATTTTTCAGAAGAATAAATATCTCTCTAGTCTTGGTGATTGTGAAAGTTCTGTATTGTCATTGGTTTCATGGTCATTGACAAGAAAAATTAGAATTAATGATGGTGCTTTTGTTAGTGCAGCTGAATTAAAAAGCATATTACAAATGGCTTACAATGCAGATACCCTAAATATATATGATACTACGGGTACTCTACCTCGACTGATATTACGTAACACTGATCATCTCGGAACTCGTATCAAGCAACAAGTGAGTGTTTCTATTTTAAAAGAGAAACCTTAGTGATATCAGTTTGTTCAGAAATTCAATTTTAATTGATATTCATTTTTCATTTTAATTAAACCTTTTCAAAAACTTATTTAAATATTATAGTGAAAGAAAAGTAGTTTTATAGAACTAATATATTGATTTCTATTCAAATAATAAAGATAACTTTTATTTGTCAGATTCGATCACTTTATATGGCTGATTTGACATTAACATTTTTTAATGCTGAACATTTCTGTACTAATCGATCTTATCGACTACGTTGTTCTTCGAAACAAATTCAAATTTGGCTTTAGTACTACATTCATTATGTTAAGACATATTCTTATTAGAAATTTTTTGTATATAAATATATATCAGTAAAACTGAAACATGTTCAATGCGAACGATTTGTTACTGAAGTTTTGAAAATTGGTCAGAATGTCATTTTTTCTATCTAATATATGAAACTAATCGTTTAAAGGTAAACTAATTTGACTCATTCAATAAACTAAACTCAGCATTCCAATCAATTAAGAATTAGTGGGAGAAAAATAAACTTTCATCCGATTCATTTATTGTTTTCATTCAATTTAAATTGATTTGTTAAGAATATGGGTTAAGAGAAGAGCCATACCATCGACACTTACATCCTCCATATCTTCTTCAAATGAAACAATCTTGATAATATTCTTTATTCGATGAAAGATCAATTCTAGGCATTCTTATTAAATAACAGTTTGTTTAATATTCACAGTAGATTTGTTTATTCGTTGCATAAAAATAAGAATCTCATCATAATATTAGTCGAGTCAAGTCTTATTACTAACAGAAATAATATAATTATAATAATGAAATGTATATTTCATTGAGGTTTGAATGAAAAAAATTTTGATTTGCAAAGTTTTTTTTTCTTCAATACACTATAAAAGATATATGTCGTACCATGCTATCTATTTCGATAATGAAAACGACATTTTTTTCTACACAACTAATTAGTGTCGGTAAAGAATCAAAATATTCATTAAGAAGAAAAAGATAGTCATGAAAAATTTTAGTATTAATGTACCATTTAGTTCAAGTTCAAGGCATAGAAATAAAATCAGCATAATAATATTGAATAGAGTTTCAGAGACCTCTCTTGTTGAATCTCTGTCAATATCCATATTAAGATATGTGATCTGTTGAGTAAGAACATGATGAGGTGTTTTCATGGGATCTCATCAGTCGATCCAGCAACCAGGTTCAAATTCAGTGAAACTTTCAGGGTTTGTAGAGCTTTCGGCGCTGATCATTTTGGTTATAAATCTTTTATATTTGCCCGCTATTTTTAGAGAGATTCGGGTCAACTACTACTGATGTAATTTGTAATAAATTGAAGTCATATTTTTATCGAAAAAACGATCATAGTCCATGATATATCGATTCGGATTTTAAAATCAATTACATATTTAGATTCTTTTTGAAAAACTCCACCAGAATCCTTAGGAATCTAAAAACTTTTCATGCATTGTTTTAGTGCCCACTAATTCGCACTGTAGAGGAGGAGTGTATCAAAAAGTCGATCAGAAAGTTGGAATGAACAAGAATGATGGTCTTGTCAGTTCGATAGAGCACTACTTGTTTTACAACATACACTGATTAGTTTTCTCTGCATGTTTGATTTTGGAATGAACAACTGTCAAAACTGTTTTAGGTTACAATTTTTCATCAAATTCTAGTGAATATATCCATGAGATCCAATCTGATGGTTTGTTAATCATTTCGAAGTTCATTGAGATTTGTAAGAACATGTTGACCTGATCATTTTGGTACTAAATTATTCAATGTTCGATTCTATTTCCACAAAAAAAAACAAATCAAATAATATCAGTGTATATTATGTCCTTTTAATTATTATGCTTAAAAAAAACAATGCATTTTGCTTGAAAAGAAGGTCTTACCACCATATTATTTATTTAAGCTAGAAACCTATTTATATTAGAGTCGAACATTGGATAATTTAGGAGCAAAATGATGAGGTCAACACGTTCTTACAAATCTCAATGAATTTCAAATTGATTAAAAAACCATCTGATTAGACCTCATCGATATATTCACTAGAATTTGATGAAAAATTGTGACCTAAAATAGTTTTGACAGTTGTTCATTTCAAAATCAAAGGTGCAGAGAAAATTAATTAGTGCATATTGTAGAGCAAGTTCTGTTCTATCGAACTGACAAGGTCATCATTTTCGTTCATTCCAACTTTCTGTTTCACTGAACTTGGACCTGATCGCTGGATCGACTGACAATATCCCATGAATATGCCCTATGAAGAGTTGAATCACTTTGAATTTAAAAAAAAACAAAGATGATAAGTAAGTCATATAAAAATCTTTTAAAATTTTCTTAAGTAGAACGAACAAAATAAAATGGTACATTTGTTAGATATGGGCAAAGAAGTATTTTTTGAACCTTGATTGTCTATTGAAGAGATACTATCAAGCGATGATTTGATGGTCATCTCGAGATTATGAATATAAAGTGGATCAAGTATTAATCGATCAGATTTAGTTTATTTGAAGTACTCATGTCTAGTCTAACTCAAACTGCTAATTTATTTCAATCTAGATATGTCTACGTTTTCTTATTATCATCTATGAGAACAATGAAAAATGAATATTTATATCTACTTAGGGTGTACCAAAAGTTCTGATCACGGCGTTACTTAGCCATATAGTAAGCTTTAAAAATCTTTCTTTCTATATAAGCCTGATAGAGAA